GGGCAGTCAGCACTAAACGCATTATGGTCGGTCTTCCGCAGTCCAGAGTGTGAGCAGTTGCAGCACTGTGGTTCATTACCTGCAGTAAAGTCTGCGCATTTCTCGCGCAGATGCGGTCCTCCACAGTGACTGCATCTGTCCACACTCTCGGTGCAAAATTTCCGACCATGTCCGAATGCAAGGCACTTCGTGCATTGGATGAGCGGAGACTGGTCCTCGACCCTGACCCTTTGTAGGTCTAGATAGAGGGCTCCAGCCTCCGTCATCCTCTGCCATACGTTAGGCTTTACCTGAAGGATAATGTGCACTGTTTTGGGATTTCTGGTACGTTTTTTGAATTTTATCAGCATTTCCTTGTCCACTTCAGGTAGGCCCACGAAAATTTCTTTATTCTGCGCGTAGAGCGCCTTGATTATGTCGTCGTCTTCACTATCAACAAACACATCTTTTAGGACAACAAGAGGGTTTTTGTTTCTCATTGGCGCTACTACCAGTCCATCTCCACGACTTTCTATTATTTCCTGAACTTTCTTCATTTCTTTTTCAGTGTCGCAACCTACTATGACTGTTTGATTTTTGGCCTTGCGCACCTTGTTAATTTTGAGGCCAGTGCCTCTAGCATCGACCACCTTTTTCACCCTGGCGAGCACCTCGTCAGCAGTTTCGAGACCACTTTCGAAGGTGACCGCCATCGAGTGAAGTGCAGGGCGGTGGATGGGTTTGGCAGCTGCGACGCTGGCGTATGACTTAGGGACTGCGTTTGTTTCGCATGCCAGTCCTTTTGCGACCTCCATAAGTTCCTGTTTGGCTGTGACGACATCATCGGCAATTCCACCGACCAGATCTTTAAGGAGAGCGTGCGTTCGACTCTCGACCTCCTCGGTCGTTTGGTCTATGGCAGCTCTGGTCTCATCGATCCTGTCGATGATCTTGTCGATCATGTCGGAGCCTCGGTCGTTATTACCATTATGGAGTCCTACTATATCCGCCTTCAGACTCCGCTCTATCTCATTTAGTCGCTCGATCAGTTTTTCTTCCACCTCTCCTAGTTTCCTGAGGGCCACATCCTGCCCATTGGTTGACGAGGTCTTTGTTGGCGTATTTGTTTTAGGGACCTCTGCTTCGAGACTTTCGATACGCCTACTGAGCTCGAAAATTGCTCGTATGCCTTTATCTGACTGCGCCTCCAGGAAATGTTTTATGTCTTTCCTCATCTGAGGGTACTCCTTGACTTTCGAGGGTATATCCTCGAAGGTTTTCATTATCTCCTGGAGGAGCTGATCACTCGGTAATGCAGCGTAGTTCTGTTGCTGCTTTTTGTATATGTCCATATTATCGAGTGATCTTCTTTTTGGCGTCTGGTCTTTTGATAAAGGTCCTAGCAGCATCCTGCGCTGCTGCGGTTGTGGTGGCAGGGCTAGGAGTGGTGGGCTTTTTGGCAGCGCCAGAGGTCGTGGGTGTGCGGTACATGGTGTGTATGAGTGCGGTGTGTGTGTATGTAGTTTTAGGTGGGTCGGGGAAAGTTGTCCCTCGATAAAATATTTGTTAGACCCTGTAAAGGGGGGTCTGTGTCAAGTATGTAATAAAAACTAACCTATCCTATAAAAATAAAAAATAAAAATGAAGGAGAGTCCTGCTCTACCAAGTTATTATTACCTTATGAAGGTAAAAAGGGATTAATCTAGGGCCCGTTAGCCTTCAGGAGCCAATTTTGGTCAAAATAAAATTTCAAATTTTTTCGACTCTACCTAGAGTCAATCTAAGTAAATACAGTTGTAGGTCTCCCCGAGCCCTTTCGTTTAAACCCAAACACGACTATCCCAGCCTTAGGGGTTTCGCAGAAACAGCAGCTCAAATTTCTGGTCGCCGATCCAAGATGGCCACCAGAATCCGGTTACAAGCGGTTTCTCCGCAACCACCCGTCCAAAACCTGCCGTGCTTGGGGTCTCCCAACTGGGCTCGACGAGATCTACAACTTGATGAGGGTTGAAACCCTATGTCACCAAAACGCTTAAAAAGTAGGGAGGCGGGTGGAGACCGTCCCTCTGAACTCCATCAAGAAAACCGCAACTCGCTACGACTCCTGGATCTTAAGTTACGTCAATTTTAAATTTTTCAAAATGGCCGCCAGTTCAGACCACAATAACTTATTTCGGGCGGCTTTCAACCGATTTGGGCCGTGTTTGGGGTCATATAATAGGTCTCGGTGTCAATATTCCAAATAAATAAGTAATTTGGTATTTGAAGCCCCCTTTGAATTGATTTTTACAAAAATTTAAAAAAAAAATTACAAAATTTTTGATTTTTATGGCCGGCTTTAGTTTTAAAATTCTACAAAAATTTATTTACAGTACTAAAGGTATTCTTAATTTATATATATATTCTTATACCTGGAAACACGTTATAATAGGTGGTACGTGGTCAACAAATTAATTTAAAAAATCGTAATTAAAAAACTACTTACAATAAAAATCTGAAAAATTTTATGTACCTTTCTTATGGTAACCTAAACACTATTTAAGTATAAAAACAAGGGGTCTTCGCTTTAAATTTTAAAATATAAAATTTTGAAAATTTCACTAAATTTAAAAGTTCAATTATTCCGCAGCCACTTAACTTATTAAAATTCCGAAAGTTGCACCCGGCTCCCCTCCAGGCTAGCTACCAGAATGCGACTTCAAAAGTAGCCGCACGATTCTCCTTCTCGAAACACGTGCCCACGTGGTACTTGTTTTTTTGCCTTTTTCTCCGAGACTATGGCTCAGAAAATTTCCAAATTTTTAACACGTGTAGGGGCCGTGTGTAGGTTCAAGGCCACACTTTAAAAAACTAGGGTTACAGCACTTAAACACTCAGCGTTTCAATTTTAAAATTTGAAATTTCCGAAATTTCACTTTTTTCACTATAACTTTGTCACTTTCACTCCGATTTAAAAACAATTTGCACGACTATAAGCCGCAAGTTAAGCCGCGTCTTTTGGTGTATAACACACAAAAATCGGACGTAAAAAACCTATTTTAACGAATTTTTGAGCGCGGAGCAACTCAGAAAGGTGGCGTTCGGGACGGCAGTTGACACCGGACTGGTTGGGTTGGGTTGGGTTGGGTTGGGTTGGGTTGGGTTGGGTTGGGTTAGGTTAGGTTGGGTTAGGGTTGGGTTGGGTTGGGTTGGGTTGGGTTAGGTTAGGTTAGGTTAGGTTAGGTTAGGTTAGGTTAGGTTAGGTTAGGTTAGGTTGGGTTAGGTTAGGTTAGGTTAGGTTAGGTTAGGTTAGGTTAGGTTAGGTTAGGTTAGGTTAGGTTAGGTTAGGGTTAGGTTAGGTTAGGTTAGGTTAGGTTAGGTTAGGTTAGGTTAGGTTAGGTTAGGTTAGGTTAGGTTAGGTTAGGTTAGGTTAGGTTAGGTTAGGTTAGGTTAGGTTAGGTTAGGTTAGGTTAGGTTAGGTTAGGTTAGGTTAGGTTAGGTTAGGTTAGGTTAGGTTAGGTTAGGTTAGGTTAGGTTAGGTTAGGTTAGGTTGAGTTAGGTTAGGGTTAGGTTAGGTTAGGTTAGGTTAGGTTAGGTTAGGTTAGGTTAGGTTAGGTTAGGTTAGGTTAGGTTAGGTTAGGTTAGGTTAGGTTAGGTTAGGTTAGGTTAGGTTAGGATCTTTTTTTTTTTTTTTGTATGTATTGCTGTTTTCCTCTGACATAGGAGGTCAGAGACATTGTCAGCTCGACACGGACTTTTAATTCTGATTTTTATTTCCTTGTCCTTGCTATAGTATAGGGTGTAGAGGACTCCGGGTTTTCGTTCGGGAGTCCTTCTACTCTTAACCTAATGCGAACAATGACGTGTTTGTCATAAACTTTACATTATATCTTATCTCTAGGCTGGATTTATCAATACATTTTTTTTCTTTTTAACAGTAGATTTGATACAAACTTATTACGTATTATTTTGTTATTTATTTACTACTAACTAATCTATTTTACTGAACTATATTTTTTCATGGCATACTTACATTCTAGACTGATTAAACTCCATCTCTTATCATTTTCTGGTCTTATGCAGCATTTTGTATGAATAGTTAATATATTACGTTTTAATATATACTATACATATTTCTTACGATTTTTTTTTTAACTTAGTTTTCTATTGTATTCCTATGTCTTATTTTTAATCTTTACCTTTTTTACTATATCTTCACAGAATTTTATGAATTCTTTTCTTTCACTTTTCTTTGCTAGAATATCCATGATATTGCCTTCTGTAATTCTTATATTTATTTTCTGTTCCAGGTCCAACCTTTTATTACTGTACATTGGGCAGTCAATGAGCAAGTGCATCACCGTTTCTTCAACCTCGGGGTCACAAACACAACCAGCGCTTGTCCTACACTTAAAGCGATTTAGGTATTCTGCGAAGGCACCGTGCCCCGTAAATATTTGCACTAGTTCTGGTGATGGTTTAATTTTCCTTATTAATTTATACGCTGTTTCGGCATTTTTGAAGAATATTTTGGTGGTCGTAGCTGTCTCGCTGTTTGTGTACCGTTCGTTCCACTCCTGCACTGATTTTACCCTTATCATTCGTTTTATGAATGATATGGGGCATCTATCATATTGGGATGCTGTTTTCTTATATAGTGCCGCTTCTTTTGCTAAGTGGTCCGCTCTTTCGTTCCCTTGATGTCCCGCATGTGCCTTAATCCAAAATAACTTTACTGTTTTATTATCTTTTAAGATCTTAAGATTTTTTCTGATTCCGCGGACTAATGGATGGAAGTTTTCCGGTGATTTCAATGATTGCAGTCCTGATTGGGAGTCGCTGTAGATGCTAAAGACACTGTCCTTATGCTTCAACATAAGTTCTGTGGCTTGGTATAGTGCGTTAAGTTCGGCTTGGTACACTGTGCAGAAGGATTCAAGCTTGAACTTTTTACTTAAAATTTCAGTGTTATCCCTCCACACAGATAGCGCTGCTCCTACCTTCCCGTCAATTTTACTCCCATCGGTGTATATCTGTGTCACCTTTAGCTTTTCTTTTGTTTCTTCCATCTTTTCCGGTTGTTTACTTTCTATTGTACTAAAAATTATTTCGTCTTCTGTGGCTGGGTGCTCGGCTTCTATATACAGTACCTTTTCTTCAACTTTTCTGTCTCCCAGGATGTCCTCCTGCGGTTTGCCGCGTTTTGCTTCATACAGCCTTGCTGCGGCAAGCGGACATCCAGAGGTAACAGTCCCGTTAATATCAGTGCCGAATTCAGCGATACGGTCCTGTAGGCTTTACATATTTTTTGTGTGAAGCCCCGTTGCAAGGTGTTCAGATGTTTTTGCACGGTTATTTTTTTTGATGCACTTGCCCATACACTGGCTGCATAGAGCACGATCGGCTCGACGACTGACACATAGATGGTCCTGATGATTTCCGAATTCAATCCCCAAGAAATTTTTGCTGTCTTTACTAACTGTTTGTATATATTTGTAACCTTGCGACATATATGTACAACATGACTATGGAAGGTTAACTTTTTATCTATTATAAGGCCTAATAATTTAATCTCATCTACTATTTTTATGTTTGTTCCGCCCATGTGGAGTTGTGGTGTGTCGTAATTAAGTTTTTTGGTGATAATTATTGCATTTGTTTTGTGTGCAGCAAAACTAAGTTTGTTGCGCACACCCCAATCATACACAAGGGCGAGAGTTCTATTTGCTTTTTCTTCAATTTTGGGAATTCTTTGTCCGGAGAAGACCAGGACGACATCGTCCGCAAAGGCTTGGCAGTAAACTTGCTCCCTATCCATTAAGTCCAATAAAGGGTCCAGTAATAAATTCCAAAACGTAGGCCCCGCTATAGATCCCTGCACGCATCCTTTGGATGTGGATCTTTCGACTTCTTTATCTGCGTATCTTAACTTTATTTTTCGGTTTTCGAAATAGCTATTAACAACTTTGCGGAGGTTTTGGGGACACTTTTTCTCTAATAGTTGGCATTTTATGGCAGGCCACCAAGCGTTGTCAAAAGCTCCCTGTATGTCTAGAGATATAATAAGGCTTATCTTTTTTATCTTTGAGGTTTACTCTTATGTGTTGCAACAGATCATACAGGGAGTCTTCCGTACTTCGCTGGGGCACAAACCCATATTGCCTTGGATTACTTTTTAGCAAGATGTGCCATCGTAGTCTTTTAACTATCAGTTTTTCTAAAATCTTACCTAATATTGAAAGCAATCCAATGGGTCTATGGGCCTTGGGGTGGGTATAGTCATTTCTACCAGGCTTTTTGAGGACTATTACAACAGCCTCCTTCCATGGTGTTGGATAATGAGCAAGCTGCAAGCATTTGTTGACCATTGATAGAAAGAGTTCTTCATTTGTTCCTATTGCCGCAGTACATATATCCATTGTAAAACCGTCAGATCCAGGTGCCTTTTTAGTACTAAAACTTCCCATAACGTTTCTTAGTTCAGCTTTAGTGAATGGCGGATCCTGTGTGTCATTTGGTAGGTATTGCTGTAGATTGTTAGCTTTTTCTCTTACTTTTCCATGTTCAGTATTATCTACACTACTGTCATCTACTGGAAAAAAGCTATCTGCTAACCATGCTGCCGATTCATCAGGACACAAGGCCTTTCCGCCATTCACTAATAGCTGATCCTGTTGTCTTTTAGGTGTTTTTCTAATAACCCTGTATATCCTATCCCAGAAACTTTCGCGATCCTGTTTTGTACAGTACTCCTTCCAACTATTTGTTTGTGCACTAAGTGCCTCTTTTTCATATTTCATTTTTGCCTCCAGATATTGCTGTACTACGTGTTCCCTTCTATGCCTTGCAGCACATCGAACTCTTCTTCGTTTGGTAATCATTGCCCTTTTCATTTCTTCTAGTTCTCTAGTCCACCATGGTATGTATGTTTTTTCTTTTGTATTTAGTTTCGGAATATTTTCTTCACATGCTTTATTTATACCCTCAATATATGAAGCTATAATGTTTTCCAAAACCTCCCTTGATACAATTTTTTCGACTGCTGCTATTTCAATTTTATTTTCTTCTAGATAGTTATTAAATGTTGTTTTAAAATCTGTCCAGTTAGCTTTTTTAGTGTTATAAATTCTAGTGGTTTGAATTTTTCTTTTTTCTTGCGGTTTATCTAAGTTGACCGAGAAAACTATTGCATTATGATCTGAACTTATTAAATCTTTGTCCACCCTCCAATCTTGAATATGACTTAATAAATTTTCGTTACATGCTGTTATGTCTACATGACTTGTGTATAATTTGCCCCCCTCTGATTGTATCAAAAGTAGGCTCTGTTCCTTCGTTTAATATATGTAGACCCATTTCGTCCAATGCTTCCTGTAGTGCCATACCTCGATGATCTATTGAAGTGCTTCCCCACCAGGTGTTCCATGCATTTGAATCTCCAGCAATTAATGTATATTTAGCTGTTTGTGTTTTGACTATTTTTTTTTTTCAATTTGTTTAAGATATGGTTCTATGGGTAAATAATCTTCAAAGTATATTGAAATTGCTACTATTGTCCATTTATCAGTCTTTAGTGTGGCAACTACAATGTTTTCCGTAACCAAAGTAGGGTCCTCTATTATATTTATATCCGGATCGAAAACAATTATAGCTGCTTTGTTCGGCTTTTCTTTTCGTTGACATTGTACTATTCTACTACCTGGTGGTTGCTGTACTACTCCTGTAGCTGCTGTATATGGTTCTTGTACTAAGGCTATTGAGATATTTTTACTACGTGCTTCAATAAAAACCTCCTGTGTGGCTAGCTTCTTTCTTTGTAGGTTTATTTGTATAAGTTTATATATTTTCTTACTGGGATTGACGTGCAGGGATTGCGTCACTTTGGTGTTAACTTTCTCGTCTTAACAATAGGCTACGCTACTTCTTGCAATTGCTTCCCATTTTTTGCGTATAGGACATCTGTTATCGAAGCTGTTATGGTCAGTTTTATCGCTTTTTGCCAGGTGACAATTTCGGCACGTTGGTATATCTCCTGAAAGCCATCCTGGGCAGTCCGCTCTTAAATGTGGTCCGGAGCAGTGGCTACACAGTGCAATAGACTCCTTACACAGTTTATTTCCGTGGCCGTATCCCAGACATTTTGTACATTGCACCAGGGGTGACTGATCCTGAACTCGTATCCTTTGTAGATCGATTTGGATACGGCCTACAGTTGTCATGCGTTGCCAAACTTTAGGAGACACCTGTAGGATTATGTGATTCTCATGCGGATTTCGTGCTTTTTTCCTGTACCTAATAGATATTCTAATGTCTTCTGGCCCTAAATTTTCGATGAAATGTTTATTTTGATTTTTGATTGCTTTAATAATATCCTCGTCCGTATTATAAGTCAATACATCTTTTAATATTACAAGCGGATCTTTATTCTTTGTTTCTTGTATATCTAATTTTTGTTCCGAATTTTCAATTTTGTCTCTCAGCTTTTTTAAATCCTCCTTAGTCTCACAGCTTAGAATTACTTTCTGTTCCTTCGCCTTCCTTACTCTGTCTACACGGATTCCAGAAGATTTTGCATCAACTGCCTCTCTTATTTTGTCAATAACTTCTTGGCTAGTATCCTTCTCACTTTTTGATGAAACAATTATTGAATGCATTGACGCATAATTTGTTGTTTGCGAGCTACGAGCTGCAATTTCAGCATATGTATAATTTCCAGATTCTTTCTTGTTAAAATCGTTGTGTATTTGCTCCACTTGATGCCCTAGTTTTTTCAGCAAGATATTCGATTCTTCGATAGTCAGTCCATTTTTATTTATTTGCGCTAAGATTTCTCTAGTCGCTTGTCCATCATTTAGGCCTATTTGCATTCCGTTATTTTTTTCAGCAGCGTCTTGTGTCAAAATTTGCCTAACAGATGCTAATTCCTTTAGAATGTCCCTTACTGTTCCCTTTGCGTTTGCCCCATTAGACGTTTCCAACAGACCCTCTAACTTCTCAGCGTATTCTTTTTCCTTTCTTAATAGTTCCTCCTTTACACTTAATTTAGATTTTTCCAGTTGTAGTTGCAGTGTCTGCCGGGATTCACTCATGCGCAATATAATCTCATACATACCAGTTATTCCATATAAAACCTTTTCTTTAATGGATGTTTTAAGGTTTCCTGATTGCTCTATTTGCGATTTTGTATCTTGCAAAAGCTTATTTGCTGCAGCCACTAGAGTCGACTGAGGCATTGTCGAAATATTTAACGAGGTATCGTGTGTTCCGCTCTGTACATTTTCTAACCTATCTTCGTTTGTTGCTGCACTTTGAAGCAGCGCTCGCTTACGCATATCAACTGTACCAGCTGAGGGTCTGTGGGCCATTTTAATAATGCAGATTTGTAGTTAACAATAATAATACTATTATAGCCTAGTAAACAAAACAAAATAAAATAAAATAAAATTGTATAATAGTAAGTAATCAAAATATCCTAATCTAACGGTGTCGGAAATATCCAACCACACCGTGTCAAGGTATGTAAGCAGTCAATTTTAACACAAATAAGAACAAGAATAAAACAAATTTACATTAAAAAAGTAAAATAAATAAAAATTTTTTTTAAACTCTATGTAGAGTTAAAAAAAATTTTTAAATATCTTATAAAAACAAAACTTTCTAGAAGATATATGTCTAGTAATTTTAAAACTTTATAAAATATTCTTCAAGAAGAGACTTACAGGCTAACAAATTATCGGCTCTACAAAGAGTCTATTTCTAGACACCAGCTAAAAGCGCTCCTCGAGCCCTATCCAGGGAACCCAAACTCGGTATACCTAGCCCAAAAGGTTCCCAAGTAACAGCGCTTTCAAATTATGGTTTTAAAACAAGATGGCCGCCAAAATTACGGTTTATGCGCTGTAACTCCTGAACGGATGGGCCTACAGCTCCGCGCCTAGGCTCGTTTTGGTGGGCCCGACCAGGGCTATCATATGGTGTAGCTTTCAGGACCTAAGTTTTTGGCGCTGAAATTTCCTGAAAAATAAATTGTCTGTTCCAGCACCAACTGCCGACTTCTAGGGTCAAAATCCCAGCCTTCTGTGACGCCTAGTTCAGCAGTTATGACGTTTTTAAAATTTTCAAAATGGCCGCTGGTCCAGACAATAAATGACTATTTTCGCCGTTTTTAAACGGATTTTACCCGTGTTTGGGCTCGTTCAAAAGGTCTCGGTGTCGAGCTTACTTCTATATAAATATTTTGGCTGTTTCAGCCCCCCTTTAATTAAATTTTTTACAAAATAAGATAAATTTTTTAGATAATTTGATTTTTAAAGTTAAATTATGTTTTTTAAAATTCTACAAAAATTTGCATGTATTACTATCAAGACCCTTATATTAATTACGTATTTTATAATTTTCTAGTACTTATTTTAAGGGTAGCACATGTTAACTAAAAATATTAAAAAATTTATAACTAAAAAACTACTCACTATAAAAGTCCAAAAATTTGTACATATATTCCTTTCGTACTTCTAAACAATATTTTAAAATAAAAATAAGGGGTCTCCACTTTATTTTTAAATTTATCGAGATGTCAATTTTTGTCAAATTTTATAAGTTCCATATCTCGTAAACCACTTAACTTAAAATTGTCCCGAAACTTGCTCCTGGCTCCTCTCCGCAGGTACTACCGGGATCCGACTTCCAAAATAGCCGCACGACTCTGCTTCAAAAAACACGTGCCCACGTGGTACTTGTTTTTTTGGGTTTTTCTCGAAGACTGTAGCTCCGAGAAAGCTCAAATTTTGCATATAGGTGGGGGCCGTGACTAGCTTTAAGGCCGCACTTTAAAAAACAGGGGTAAAGGCGACTAATCGCACAGCGTTTCACTTTGAAGTTTTTAAATTTTTTAAAAATCACTCTTTTCACTATATCTTTTTGAAACAATCTCCGATTTTCTTGCGGTTTTCACTACTTTAAGCAGCAAGTTAAAACACAACTTTTGATATATCACACACGAAAATCGGTTGCAAAAAACCTATTTTTCCGAATTTTTAAGTGCGGAGCGATTTTAAAACGTGGCGTTCGGGACGGCAATTGACACCGGACTCGGGTTAGGTTAGGTTAGGTTAGGTTAGGTTAGGTTAGGTTAGGTTAGGTTAGGTTAGGTTAGGTTAGGTTAGGTTAGGTTAGGTTAGGTTAGGTTAGGTTAGGTTAGGTTAGGTTAGGTTAGGTTAGGTTAGGTTAGGTTAGGTTAGGTTAGGTTAGGTTAGGTTAGGTTAGGTTAGGTTAGGTTAGGTTAGGTTAGGTTAGGTTAGGTTAGGTTAGGTTAGGTTAGGTTAGGTTAGGTTAGGTTAGGTTAGGTTAGGTTGAGGTTAGGTTAGGTTAGGTTAGGTTAGGTTAGGTTAGGTTAGGTTAGGTTAGGTTAGGTTAGGTTAGGTTAGGTTAGGTTAGGTTAGGTTAGGTTAGGTTAGGTTAGGTTAGGTTAGGTTAGGGTTGTTTAGGTTAGGTTAGGTTAGGTTAGGTTAGGTTAGGTTAGGTTAGGTTAGGTTAGGTTAGGTTAGGTTAGGTTAGGTTAGGTTAGGTTAGGTTAGGTTTTTTTTTTTTTTTTTTTTTTTCCCTCCTTCTTCTTTTCCATGAGGAATTGCTATCGGTATACAATTCCTTATGGTTGCGAATTTTTGTTTAAAATGATGGGTTCTATTTGCTCCACATTTTGCTTTGATTTCTGTTAATATTTACTTTTGATAACTTTCATCAATGGTTTTCATAATATATTTTAATAATGTTACCTAAAATATTTTACGATAAGAATTTGATTTATGTGTTATGCAAGACATATTGGTACATTAATTTGTTTAATACTAAACATAAATATACATATTCATACATAATTATATATAAATATTTATAATTAATAAATATTTAATATTTATAGACTACCTTAATAGAATTAGTAAAATTAAAATTACTATTTACATAGGGTATCTTATTATTATACTTTTATTCCAGTTTTTCTTGAATTTACTTATGAGGCATATTAATGTTCAATTATTTTAATTTACTACTGCTGTATTGTTGTTGAAGTTTTTTAGTTGACTTATAATGTAATTGACGTGGGTTTTAAAAGTTTGTATAGTAGTTTCTTTGGAAATTATTTCTGATAAATTATATGGTTCTATCTTTAACATAGTGCACGCAATTTCATGTTCCATTCTTGTTCTAAGAAATGCAGGGCAGTTTCTTATAAGATGTGTCATGGATTGTACACTAGTTTGATCGCATGGGCATTTATTATCATTGGTTATTTTAAAACGATGAAGATATTCCTTGTGATATCCATGATTGCTAAGATACTGAGTTATAGCAAAATTAGGTGCCAGTGCTTTAACAGTTAGGGTGAGTTGCTCATAAGTAGGACATAGAGATTTGGTATATATGCCTTTGTCACTTTCAAAGTAAAAGTTTTCTATTCCTTTAATGGCTTGTTGTCGATTTAAATATTTTACATGGCTTATTGGGAATTTGAGAAATTCATAAGATCGGTGGGAGGTTGCCGCGCTTTTGGCAGCTGCATCGCTTCTTCATTGCCTGAAATTCCGATGTGACCTTTAATCCAGCAAAGACTGACTTTTAAATTGAGTGATT